AAAAAAAAAAAAAGAAAAACATGAACTGCCACCACAAGCAAGGCTAGGCAAATCTTTGAGTGTTTTGGTTTCTGCCTAGCAAAAGCCGCAGATTCAGCAGAAGAGAACGAGAGGGTCAAACACGATTGCCCAAGCGAGATGTCAGTCGATTAAGACCGCGTCATCATTCGGTGTCGAATCGGTGAGGCGTTGGCCGGCGCGCTTGTAGAGGGAATGCAATGATCGATTGAATTCGGGAGGCTACATTGTGACTGCCCGTACCTACCGCACGCTAATGATGGCACCCAATGCGCCATCGATGAGCTCCTTTCGATTTGCCACAAACGGGATGGACACCTAAGTCTGAGAAGACCAGTGAAGCACGCGCGCGAGCGAGTGCTCTGCCACGAGAGTGGCTTGTGCGAGGCGTATCTCTTTGGAGCATCATTGGGTTTGCACAAGTTTTGATTTGCATGACGACAGACTTGGTTTCCATTCACGGTCAACGCGAGACTGCACCAAGTGCCACTATCAGCAACCAGTGAAGCGCCGGTTGGGCGGAAGCTCCATTGATGTCTATGTAAAAGTATAGATCGCCACCGTCTCTTGTGTATTGCCGTCGTCCGTGGTGCTTAAGGCTCTGCAATCTGTGGCGGCACGAGAAGATGCACGTAGAGGAAGAGGAGCGGAACGAACTGATTCAATGCTGACGATTCGATCGAACGCAGTGGAAACCCAGCTTGCTGTCGACGCGTTGGGTCCCGACGCCATCGTGACGTTTCGGTGGCCGCCCTCTGTGGCGGAAACGTCGCCGAAAGGACGCTCCCCAAGGTCTCGGTCGGTAGTCAAGCGGGCATCCATGGTCATTTTCCGCCCTTTCACATCCTGAGCAGGCCTCTGTGCGTGGCCTTCGAGATGAGAGGTACTTGCTACACTCCTCCAGAGCTGCGGAAGCGTCATCGGTGTAGCGTAGCCGGGTCCATTCGTGGAGACAGACGGGCAGTCCGGTCTCAGCTGAGAATCAGAAGTGCTCGCAGTGTTCTCTGAGACCGTAATTGGAGCGTCTTGCGATTCATTGAGTTTGCCACGCGATTGAGAGCGCAGCGTGACGACGTGTGCCATCTTCCGCAGCTTCGCAAGCGCTCCGCCTCCTCGACCAGAAGGTCCTGCTGCCGCCAAACGCTCCTTTTCGGCATCGCGTGCATGCTCCACAGACACGCTGGGCTGAATGTGGGGTGTGCGCCGGTCACTCTCAGAACCGAACGCGCGTTGAGCTTCGGAGGGATCGAGCGTGCCTATCAATCGAGGGCCATGCTCAACGTTGAGATCGCCAGACTCGACGTTGCCATCTAGGTCGCCAACACTCCAAACGCTCAACGCTCCATCTGATCCGGCGCTGACACATCGACCTCCCTCGAGCGCCACGCTGCGAACACTTGTCGAGGACCACAGACGTGCTCGGTGAGCAAGAGACGGCGATGGGATGGTGGATCTAGATTCGCCCTGCTCTTGTCCTGGCCGGAAGACGCTGTACACATCCATGATATTGTCGCTGCGACCAACAACAATTAACCCGGTCTTTGTGTCGTGCGACATGGTCTCGGACCGATTGGATGCCAAGCAACCTTCGCCGTGTTCAGCGTATCGAACATCAACCGGAAATGCCGAATGCCGCGCCGCGTGCTCGTCTATCTGGGCGTGCTTGCGCTTTCGAAGACCTAGGAAAGCTGGTAGGCCGTTCCTGCCATCGTTCCATGGCAGCTTGGCAGCAGCCTTGGTGACCTTCGAGTATTTGCTGTTCATGAGAGGGTTGAAGAAGCTGCTTGTATTCATAAGACTGGCTGCTGGCGCGCCGGCCACTCGTGACTCGAAAGTGTTCCGGGTCGTATTCGAGGAGCCACCGGCTGCGTCCTGTGTTGACGAGCCTCGCGAACTCGACCAATTGCCAGGTTTGTGGAGTGCAATATCGACTTCTTGCAAACCAACGCTGAGGCGCTTGGGATACAGATGAGCAGTGTATGCGACCGACAGTCTGTACGTCACACTTTCTGTGTCTTGGCCTGACGTGGCTGCACCATCCGTAGATATCGACGAAAGAGGACTCAGAGTCAAGCAGGCTGGCCAGTGCGCTCCAAAAGCATCGAATCGCTTGATCAGCTGCATCTCCTGCTGAGTGCAGCCGTCAGGGGATGTATGCGCTTGGTCCTCCGACCAAATGTCGATGGTGAAGTCGTGTGTACAGGTCACTAGCAGTGGTCCTGCAAACGAGCACGCAGACACATCCTTGCCAACCTGGACACGTTGCTGCTCCGAGTATGAGAGGCCTTCGCCACCCGCACCATCGATCCTGTACAACACTGCTACGCCATCCGAATAGACAACTGCAATTCGTTTCGGATCGGAACTGTCCACCTGCAGATCGTGGACGCCAATCTGCTCTGCAGTGGTTGGCATCCCCGACGATGTGAGGACTTGTCTAGGCGTATGTGTACTGGCTTGGAGCACCCCTCGAACACGCCGTGCCGCTGCATCGCTTGTGGAATCCCAAACGTGGACTGGAGGGTACATTTGATCGACCCTCACCTCTTGCGCTCTTGAGGCCGTGAGGATGAATGTGGGCGTCGTGACTACCAGTGTCAGCGGTCGCGCTTGACTGCGACGAGTGGGGGGCCGTGGATGCTCTTCGACATGCCTTGCCACATCAATCCGTTCGGTGTCCACCTCGGCCGCTGTTGTCGACTTGAAGGATGAGCCCGCGACATCAAAGGCGTGCCTTTGAGTTGTCGCCCGGACCGCTGGAGGTGTGTGGAGGTTACTAACGCTGAACCTCCCTACTCTCCAGTTTCTCTCCGACAAGAAGGCTTTTCTCCAATCATGTCTTGGGCTGGCGCGGAATTCGGCTCCGGCTTCGTAAGACACGGGCAATGAACTGCGGTCGGATATCAACTGTTCATCCGGTGGATGCAACAGCGTCGGTCCGGCGCTGAACACAGCCGAGTAGAGGGCTTTCCAAAGCAGAGCATCTCCAGCAATGCTCCAGTGGCGTCGATTAGAAGCTCCAAATTTCGTCAAGCTAGCGGCGTCGAGGTAGTGGAGGATTCGAAGGAGCAGCTCGTCTGACAGATGGTCTATCGGGGTGCCACGCGAGTGGACATCATTGGATGGTGCCGCTGATTGAGCTTGAGAGGGTGAAGGTGAGGGTGTGTGCACCGCCCGCCTCTTCCGCGGATGCTCGTGAATCATTCTGGCTGCGCTGGGAACTCTAGATTGTGGCATCCAACGAAGCTGCGTCTCTACAGCGCCACAATGCGAATGCTAGCGATGTGAGTTATGACCATAGACTGGTGCGACTCGTACAGAGAAGACCTCGCCGCGCTCCTATCCCCTCTGAATCGCGCCACAGAGACGCCCAAGCCGAGCGCTTGACAGGCAGCGTTGCGGGGGCAGCTATAGGCTTGAACTTGGGTGGCAAGCTCGTAGGTCAGTACGGATAGGTGAGCAGCTGGAGGAAACCTCGATGGATGCAGACGTGTACTTCACGACAGAATTCAGATTACAAGTCGTGAGTCTTGAGTCATGAGGAGCAGTGGTACTCGTGACTCCCTTTCGCTACCTCACGACCTTGACTCAAGACTGATGTGCTGATTCACTTTTGACTCTCAATCAATATTTACTTTCAAGATTTTGATTGTGATTATTGATTGGTGCTGGTGCAGTAATGACAGTCACGTGTTCTGTTCTCGATTCAAATTCTTGATTCATGATGCAGAATCACCAATGGTTCAAGAGTTGATTTGACATCGATGTGCTCGTTTAAGGTGTGGTTGCTTTGAGCCTGCGTTGAGTCATTCAATGTTGAATCGCAAGAAGATTCTTAACTCGTATTAGACCTGTTGACCAATATAATCACATTTCGATTGGCGCACCGGCATACAAAGTATGCTATACCGTAGTGGTGAAACACCCGTATCGATCTTCAATCTTGAATTTGAATCAAATAGACTACACGCGCCTGCATGTTGATTGGCCTATCTTTGCACGCGCTCGCACGCATGCTTGCCCGTGTCTCTCACGATCGTCCGGCGCTGCTGGTGCAAGCGCATGCCTGTGATCCACGCATGAATTTCTGGAGCTACATAAGTCGTGAACACATCAAGCAGCAACGAAGGCACCACCCACTTTTGACTCAGACCTTTGACTTGACTACAACGACCCGACGTGCGGTGCAAGAATCACATTGCTCCATGCTCCACGTTTCAGAGACCATCTCATCGTCGCAAAAAGGTCCTGAAGACGAAGCGTGACAAGTAGGAAAAAGGGGACGCAAATCTCCGCTCTCAGAAGCTCACACCGTCCTCCCAGTGCTTCACAGCCACAGCACCTCAATACCAAATTCCTTGTCATAACGAGTCGCGGGCTCCGTCCTCCTTCCTCGGCATGAGTAGCGCAAGTCCCATCTCAGAAGAGCCGATCAGTCAGTCGCCGCTCTCGAGCCCCTCGCAGGATGCTGCTGATGATGCTTCTGTAGGCGGATCACCTGCAACCGTGCCAGGTGGCCTGCAAGCTAGTGCCGCCTCGCCCAGCACAACTGCACAAGATCACAGCTATGGCGTATCGCAGAGCCCGACGGAAGGAGACATGCCATTTGCAGATATGGAACGTTCCAGCAGTGTCAAACAGCCGTCTCACTGCTCGAGTGGAGCGCCGAGCCATCGATTGGGCAGCGAACAGCCGGAAAGGAACAGAGTGCCGTATGCCCACAATAGATCGTACTCTGCCATTTCGACTTCCTCTTCACTCGGAGTGCCTTCCACTTCAGCATCTGGAAACTCACTCGATCGAAGCGAGTCCTCGAGCAGCCTAGTGGGTCACGACGACTCTCGCAGAGCATCACAGTCCCCTCGCCCACGCATGGGGCACTCTAGAAGCGGCAGTAGGAATGCAAGCCACGAGTACAAGGAGACATTGGATGCCAAGAGCCAAATGATGGCGGTAAGTATGCTACTTCTTTGCCGTCGTCACAATCGTCTCCAGATCGGCTCATTTTGCTTTGTTGATGTCACTGCCTATAGGACGGGTCGCGGATCATCAATCAGTATCGACTCAAGGAAGTGATAGGACAAGGCGCTTATGGTGTGGTATACAGGGCAACGCTGCTACACGATGACAGCGTCGAATTTGTGAGAGACGCGTGCATGTAAGAACTTCGAGCGCCTATTGGTCCTCACGTCTCGATCGTCCTCGCACGCAGGCTGTCAAAGAGTTTGGGAAGACGAGGTTGCGCAAGAACAATAGGAGCAATGCATTCCGACGGAGTCGGGGAAGGGGTGCAGGGCCTGGTGCTGCGGTCAGGGGCAGAGGCTTTGGTCTTGGAATGACGCCGCGACGTCAAGGCATTGAGGAAAGCAACCAGGGAGAGGAAGAGCAGTCGTCTCCAGCCCCGGACGATCCTCTGGCACTGATTCGACACGAAGTCGCGATTCTCAAAAAGCTGAGCCACGAGCACGTCGTGCAGCTTTATGAAGTGCTTGATGACCCCTCCAAAGATGGCCTCTACATGGTCTTCGAGAATTGCCCGTGCGTATCCGCAAACACGGTTAAAGATGTGGATGCGAGAACTGACCTATGAATCTCTCGCGCAGTGATGGACCTGTGATCAATGTCAAGCTTCACGAATCGGTGGAGCCGCTGTCGGAAGGGATGGCCAGGGACTACTTCCAACAGATAATACTGGGCATCGAGTAAGTCATCTACAGACTGGTCCAAGCTACCGCCCCTTCCTGAGCATCTGACACTTTACGGTGTCCTGCATGAAGATACTTGCATTGCAATGACATTGTCCATCGCGATGTGAGCATCAGATAACAAGGTCGTCCCCGTCAGAACCGAGCGAAGCTGATGCTAGTCCTGGCCTTCATCCTGCAGATCAAGCCCGATAATATTCTGCTCACCGACAACAAGCGGACATGCAAAATTGTTGATTTTGGTGTCTCAGAGATGTTCTTTCGACCGGGCGATGACACTTTAAGGAAAAGTGCAGGAAGCCCGGCATTCATGAGTCCAGAACTGTGCACAGCAGGACACGGCGACTTTCATGGGCGGGCGGATGACATATGGTCGACCGGCGTCACGCTTTACTGCATGGTCGTTGGCAGGCTCCCTTTTGATAAAAGCCAGTTCTTTGAGCTCTACGAGTCAATAAAGAACGATGAGTGAGTGTTCTAGCTTCCTATGCACGCCTATTAAGCTTGGCTCACAACACTTCTTTCAGACCCGACTACCCAAGTCATCTCTCCGCAACGCTGGTCGACGTTCTTCAACGGCTTTTCAAAAAGGATCCGGCAAAACGCATTACCATCGCTGAACTTCGTGAAAATGACTGGGTCACAAACGGTGGCAGAATGCCGATGGTATCGCAAGACGTCAACTTGGAACAGGTTGTAATCGAAGTCACCAAGGAGGAGATCGACTGCGCCATCAACCGCATCGCGAGCATTTTGTGAGTCCCATTTCCCTCCTGTACCCAAACTTGTGCGATGCTCATTCTCGCTGCCTCTACTCTTCGATCGCAGCACCATCGCACGCGCTGTTCAGCGATTCAAGAGGGGCTCGTCAAGTCGCCGCAACGCGTCACAATCGCAGGGTAGCGAAGATTTGTCCAGGGAAGATAGCAGCTCGGCAATTGAAATACCTCAAGTCTCTTCGCCGCCGCAGATGCCTCTTGGTACCGAAGAGAAGCCGAATGTGGCTGAAAGCAGAGTTTCGGCGAAGGCGAAACAAGCGCAAGGACCCCAAGAGTCAAGCACCCCATCGGCCTCTTCAGAGCGACGACCGCAAAACGTCATCAGGCTGAACAGCATCACTTCCACCGTGTCTGCGGGGACCGGCAAAGACGGAGGTTCAGAAGATGGCGGCAACCCGTCATCTGCTGCTACCACCCCCATGTCACCTGCCGGCGGCTCGACCTCGGGCAGCTTGGGTCATCGAAGGAACTTCTCCCTCGAAGATCCATCATGCAAAATACCGGGCTACTTTCCGGACACGTCTTCGAGCGATGCAGGTGTTGCGGCAGAGAAGCAGTTTCAGAAGCAGTCCCAGCCTGCAAGCGACCTCGGACAAGCAGTTGAGGACTTGAACACGCAGGTCAAAGACATGCACATCGCTTCAGAACCCACACCGCGACCAGCCAATTCGCAAACGTCGAAAGGGTCCGAGAATACCGTCTCACCACAATTGTTCGATGAACCCGAATCAGAGGGCGATGACAGCAAGTCGAGTGCCTCTGCAGCGCGGCCGAGCTATCACTCGAAGAGGGACAGACCCCATCCAAGGTCCATTCCAACAACTCAGGCTGAGACACGTCAATCGGTAGAGCGCCCAAAAATGCCGAGCAAACTCTTTTCTGGCCCCGTTGCCGAGTCTCCAATGACGGAAGATTCTCTCCCTCCACCACCCGGTGCCAGCGATTTCTTTAAACTTAACAGTGCCAGACCAGCCGAGGAGCAGGATCCATCTGAGGCGTCATAGGAGACTGCGTCATCACCGACCCTAGACGACGGCGAAGTGGTGCTGGACGCCGTGCTTGCAAGACATCTTGACGGTCGATACTGGGCCATGTCTTACTGTATCTTACTAGCGATTCGATCTCACAACACCTCGTGCCACAATGCTGTGCTTCTCCGACGACCCAATGATATGCATTACGAGCCCAGAAATTGACGCACATACTACCAAGAGAGTCAAAGTCAGGGAATGCCCAAAAGCGCCTTGAGATTCTTGATGAGCTTCTTTTGGTCAGTGGACACCTGCTCCCAAAAGTGGTCCTTGAGAGCGTCGATGGAATTACGAGAGATGAGGGAATACACCTCGTCCTGAGCGTCCGGCGGATCCGAGAGGGTTCATCGGTCAGTCGAAAATTCAAAGCGCCAGCAAAAATTTGAAACCTTTGCTCACCTTTTCGTCAAAGTGCCTTCCAAAGATTTTGCTCTGATCGTTCAGGCCCGCCTCGATGCGGACTGCCACACCAGCACCTTGTTCCTTCCTCGTCACATGATCCTTGGGCTTCTTGTTAATCTCGAGCGAAGTCACTCTTCCCAACGTGACCACTTCCTTCTTCTTCGTGTCCGCGTGCGTCTTGACGACGCAAAGCGGCGTCCCAACTCTCAGATCGCCGTCCAAGATTTCGCAGCCCAGAATGATCGGTTCCCTCTTTGCGAAAGCGGCCAAGATCTTGAGTTTGCAAGGCCAGACGGCCGTGCCAGCAGCAGCTTTTTGACGATCCACCACGACTTGGTCCGCAAAGACTTTGTAGTCATCGACGAGGTTGTAGATGGTCATTCGGGAGAATACTCGCACGCCAATCTCAGCTGCTAGCGCTTCGGCCTCTTTGTGAACTTCCACGTCGAAGCACAGCAGCGCTGCGTACTCGGTGTGACCTTTGTCCAGCATGATCGAAGCTCTTCGGACGCTGCCTTTGAATACCGGTCCGATTTCGATACCGCTGACAGGGATGTTCTGCGTCTTTAAGAATTCTAATAGGGCTTCAAGAGATCCCAGAGTGGAAGCCTGTACGCAAACACCTTTTCCAGATGTGCTGATCCATTTTTGCAGGTCTTGCAGGTCCGCCATGACGTCGTCCTTGAGCTCTTCCTCGTCATCATCCTCCCCACAGACCAGCAGCCTAGAACCACTGATGGCCTTTTCGAGACCCGGACCCGAGATCTTGACACCTAGCGCGGCCTTGACTTCCTTGTGGTGCACATACGCGCCTTTGACTCTCATCTCCTTGAGAGGCTCGGGTGTCAAGAGAGCACGAACATAGGTGACGATCGGACCACCAAGACCGCAAAGAACGATCTTGTCTCCTTCCCTCAGCACACCGTTGGACAAAATGACGTCGATGGTGGTGCCGAGTCCCTCGATGATCTTGACTTCAAGGACCGTGCAGGCGAGCTCGGAGAGATACATGAGCGAAGCAGCCATGCGTTCTTGCGTGAGCTGCACAAGGAGGCGAAGCATGTCGGGAATACCCTCTCCAGTGTGTGCAGACGTGGGGACCAAGCTGACATTCTTTGAGAAGTTCTTGTTCTCGTAGTAAGGCACAGCGTTGAATCCTTGCTCGGCGAACGCGACCATGGTCGCTTTCAATCTCGTGTCAAATTCGTTCTGCGTAGCTTTGTTCTGCTTCGACAGACTGTCTTGGAATCCGTTGTTGGGCGTAGCGTTCCAACCGTACAGACGGTCCACCTTGTTAAGCGCGACGATGAAAGGTGTCCTCTTGTCCTTCAGCAATCGCATAGACTCCAATGTCTGCTGCTCAAGGCCGTGCATGATATCCACAACGAGCACAGCAATGTTGCAAAGGGAGCTGCCTCGAGTTCGCAGATTGGTAAAGGACTCGTGGCCCGGCGTGTCGATGACAAGTAACCCGGGTGTCTTGAAGACCTGTGTGTCATCGGGATCAATTGGTCTGATCTTCTCTTTGAGCACATCCACGGGAAAGTAAGTGGCACCAATTTGCTGAGTAATACCGCCCGCTTCTCCGCCCTGGACGTTTGTTTGTCTGATCTTGTCTAGCAACTTCGTCTTACCCGTATCTACGTGACCAAGAACGCAGCAGATAGGGCTTCTGAGGTTATCCCTGCTCTGTTCTGCCAGGGCCTGGGCTTTTCTCGCATCTCTGCGCTGCTCCTGTTCCGCTTTCTTTTGCGCAGCTTGTCTTTGCACAGCCGTCAATCCGTCGTCACTGGAGTCGTCCGAATCGTCGTCCGAATCGTCAGAGTCGTCATCCTCATCCGAGTCGTCTTCATCGGAGCTCTTGGCAATGTCAGCATCATCTTTGCCCTTGTTCTCGCGATCAGCAGCCTTCTTGGCTGCAAGTGCAGACGCTGCGGTTTTGGATGCAGCTGCCCGAGCGGCTTGCGCAGCAGCGCGAGCTCCCTCAGCAGCGCTGCGCTCCGCGACAGCAGGCCCACCTTTGGCAGAGCCATTGGCTTTGGTAGCGGGGGCTGACACGAACAAGTCGCCTCCGCGTCAGCTGTCACGACCCGAGGATGTCTCGCAGCCCCAGCGTGTACTCACATGGCTTTATAACTCCCTTCGACTTTTCGCCTGCCTTGCTGAGCTCCGCCTTCGCCTCTGCCTCCTTCTCTTGTTCATCTTCGCTCTCGGCGTCCCAATCATCCTTAACATCGCTATTTGCGTCCCAGTCATCCTTGACGTCTTCAGCAGGTGAAGTTGCGGCCTCGGTGGCAGGAGGCTCAGGCTCCGCAGCCTTGACGGGCTCAGGCTCGGGTTCGGGGGCACGTGTGGCCTGTTGTTCTTGCTCGGCAGGGCTGGGCTGGGCTTGCTGCGTAGGAGCGAGCTTGTTTGGAGGTCCCGAAGGTCCCTTCTTCTTTTTCCTGCTGTCGACTGCTTTCGACTTTCTCTGCTGTTGCGAGGTTTCTGCGCTCGCAGCATCATCCTTTTCGCGATCTTCCAATCCGTCCACTTTGATCTGCCCACTTTTGATCATGGCCTGCATCCGAGCCTCTGCCGCCGCCTTTTCGGCCTTTTGCTTCGGGGTCAAGAATTTGCCTTCTTTCTTGAGCTGCTCCTTCTTCAATCTCTCGCGCTCCTTCTTCGCCAGACGCTCAGCCTCTTTGCGTTCAGCTTCCTCCTTCTCCAGCCTTTCGGCCTCTTCCTCAGCTTTCCTCGCAGCTTCTTCCGCCGCTCTGAGGGGAAAGTCGCACGATTCGCGCCCATATTAGCCAAGTGAAGACTAGTCCTCTCGACGTTGCGCCACATCACTAACCTAGCTTCTTCCTCTGCCTTCTTCTGTGCGGCTACACGGGCCTGAAGAGCTGCGAGCGCGGCGGAGGGCTTCTTCTTGCCTTGCGCAGCCGTTTGAGTCGTGGGCGTTGCAGCAGGCACTTGCTCGGTCACCTACAGATCGACAGACCCCTCGTCAGCGACATTCGCCTGCGAGTACCGCTTCGCATTCACTCACTGCGCCTTTATCGCCTCCCTTCTTCTTTTTCTCTGTCAGAGCACACATGGCGAAGGAAAGGACAGCATCAGCAACCCGTTGCGTCAAGCATCTTCAATTAGCGCTCCACTGACTGTTCTTCGAAGCTGATGAAACCGCTTCGGGCTCCTCTGCAGGGTCTACAGCAGCTTCATCGTCGTCCACCTTTGACTCGGGCTGATTCGACTGTTTCGCAGCAGCCTCTGCCTTTTTCTTTGCCTGTCACGATCAAGGAAGAGCGTCGGAGATGGTCAGCACACATGCGCGCATGTGTCTCTGCGCTTTGTGCTACTCGTCCGCACCTTTTCTCTCTCCTTTTTGAGCTTCTCTTTCTCCTTCTTGGACAGTATCCTGCCAGGCTGCTCCTCTTCTGCACCAGCAGGTGTTGCAGTGCCAGAATCTTTGCCTTCGTCATCCTCCTTAGCGGCGGCACCGCCCTTCGTGCCCTTCTTTGACTTTGTGGTGTCTGGAAATTCGCTGTCGATGGAGCAAGGATGTATGCACATTGAGTTTGCCTTCTTAGGCCGGAGAGCAGCAGCAGCAACAACAAGAGACTCACTCTGCAGCATCCCCAGCCTCGGGAGCCTTGTCGACGTCCATGGCATCGGCATCACCCTTATTATCCTTCACTGCGTTACCCGACACATCTTCACCCAACTGGTCCCATATGTCATCGTCGTCCTGCTGCTTCTTTTTGCTCTTCTTGTCCTTTTTGCCGCCTCCTTTCTTAGCGTTAGCAGCGCTCTTTTTCACCTGAGCCATCAAGCCTCCTCCGTAGTCGTCCTCATCATCTTCGCCTATTTTTGCGTTTCCATTCGTAGAGGGTCTGGGCTCTTCCTCTTCCACCTCTTCAGGACCATCGTCGATCGTCATCGCTGCGAAAGCATTTTTGCGCTGAGGAGCTGGTGCTTCGTCGCCCGAAATGTCAGCTGGAGGTCCATCTGCAAAGAAGTCGTCGTCCCCTCCTCCTCCGCCCTTCTTGCCACCTTTCTTCTTCCCCATCTTCACCCGTAGTGTGCGAGAGCGATCCTTGTAAAGGCGTCAAGGATGTGGCAAAAACCGTGTAATGAGTTCGGTTCCCGATCTTTCTCTTCCGTCCGGCGTTTGTGCGTCTCTTCGAGACGCGAATGAAGTCTCAAGAAGCCGCCACAGTACAAGGACATGAATCCCAGAGTGAGGATCAACGAGAGTAGTCGAATGCGGACGATCACAGTCAGAGTCGTGAATCGATCAGACCCCTACTGGCTCATTCATCCCTGATTTTGGCTCTGAAGTCTGAAGTGCAAGAGGCAGCATTCGCGTTCACGATCATGCCTTTGCCTCTCTCTGCACAGCAGCAGATCGAGAATCACGTGAATGCGAGATCGCCGCGCCGACCCTGAATGAATGAATCACTTTCGTGCGAGAGGATTGGCGCGAGTGGAGCTACGTGGGCGTCGCGCACGATGACGAAAGGCACGTATGCGTGTATGTATAGCACCCGTGACCGTTATCATAGCGCTGATCGCTCGATTTATTTGCATATGGCCCACATCATTCGAAAATGCCACCCACAATCACGAATCCCTCATCTCATCTGGTGATATGGCATGCAGCCATACCGGTGCGCAGCTTTTGAACCGCAATTCGATTGTTGTGATTGTGGCTTGCTAAGCATTCCGCGCGTATGTACACGCACTCGACCGTCGTCGCCATTCACATTGTGATTTGGCCTCCACGCACGCATGCATGCAGCGACGCGAGGCGCGCGGGTCTGCTGGGGGTCTGGCCCCGCGCGCCTCGACCACCGTGACTCTGACGAGGCAGCACTTTGCAGCGTATGGCTTGATTGCGGTGCAACTCGTGACTCGTGACTCGCGATCTCATATGCGGTGGGTATACCGTACCGTACCGTACCGTACCTATGATCAAGGTGTGCATCATGCGAACGCTGAACATGCAGCAGGTCAGGAGGCGATGCCGCCGCGTCAGATCCGCATACAGCACCTACATCCAGCAGCAGCTAGATGCAACCCCACTCATCCCCCCGACTCACTCACACTCCATCATTCTCAGTCGACATTGCGATTGCAGCGCTTCACGGGCATTTGTCACACTCCAAAGTTTGTCATCTTCGCCATCTCCACCATCACCCCCTTCTATTCGACACGCGGACTCGGGACTCTCCTCTTGCGCAGTAGGAATATACACAAGGCCACCCCAGATCGATTAGCTAAGCTTCTTCTATCAAGATGCACCTTCCAAGTTTCGTCGTGCCTTCGGCTCTTGCCGCACTCTCGGTCAACATAGCTGTGCAAGCTGCTCCAGCTCCTCAACTGGTGCCCTCCTCCCTCAGCTCGCTCCTCTCCGGTTCCTCTCAACGTGTGTTCGGTCTTTCTTCTCCTCTCCCCGTGGACGAATCCGAGTCCCCAAATGCACCTACAGACTTTGTTGACGTTTTGCTTTCCGAAGCTTCGCTGGCTGTGGAGGAGGCTCAACTGGGAAAACAGGATGGACCCTCGCCTGGTGGTTGGGTATGGAAATCTTGCGGCGAAGAGACGGATGCGGTGGAGGTCAAGAGCATCGAGGTCACTCCCGATCCTCCCAAGCCGGGTCAAAACCTCACCGTCACTGCTAGCGGTATCGTCAAGAGTCGCATCGAGGTGAGTAAAGTGGGGAGACGTGTAGCCTGAGCGAAGGGCACTGCGGCGCACTTGCGCATGTGGATCGACATCGGAACTTCGCTGTCGTCGGGAAAGGCGCTTGGCGTCTTGTTGCTCAATGTCTTGCACGCGCAAGACAGACTCCATCACTCTACCACCTGCGACTCTTTCAGTCCACTGCATGCTTACTCGTTCATGGCTCTGATGCCATCCATGTCCACAGGCAGGCACCTACGCCGATGTAGTGGTCAAGCTGGGTCTGATCAAGCTCCTCACTCGTCGTTTTGATGTATGCGAAGAGGCCAAGAAGAACGATGCAGAGGTGCAATGTCCAGTGGAAGCTGGAGAGTACAAGATCACTCAGACCGTCGCCTTGCCCAGAGAGATCCCGCCTGGTGAGTCTTTCCGGCTGGGCGGAGTGTTCTTGAGATTGTTCGGGCAGGCTGCACGACTGACAAATGACTCGTGACCGGGGCCACGTCGACATCGCAGCCAAATTTAATGTGCACGTGAACGGAGCTACTCAGGATGAGCAGAACCTTCTGTGCTTGGATCTTAGCGTGAGTGTCTCGCTGGCATCTGCCTTTAGGATGGGGCGTTGAGACATCTCCCCTCGCCATTCGCTTGCCCCTTCCAACGCTCATTTTGCAGATCGACTTCATGAACCGAAGACGATTCGCTTGAGCATGTCGCATCGACGAATGACAGTCAGGCGGCTTGGGGCGCCCGCTTGGTCCCCAAGCGTCGTAGCCGAGGGTCTTCATGCAAGCAGATCTTGACGTTCGTGATTGTCATTGAAATGTCAAAGGACGCATGGTTATGAGCAAATTCTCTCTTCCTCGTGTACATGATCTCGGCGCTCATTATGCGCCTTCGCAATGACATCAAGTAAGACACTCTTCAACACACGCGGATGCTTATGAATGATGTTCTCAGGCTGTATCAAACGTGTGGCATCTATCGATGGTGAGGTGGGAGCAAATTCGCGAGCAGGTACAGTTCTGCTGGGCAAATCGGTCCTCGGAGGGCGCTTCCTTCGTTTTACTTCACCAGACCCGCATTGGACCTTTTGCAAGGCTCCGAATCGAACGTCGGTTTGCCTGGTCCATTATCGGGTCTACCGTCGATTGTGTCCACGTCGGGCAAAGCACCATTTGCTCTCATCTCATCGCCAACACGTATCGTCTCTCCCAGCACCCTGATCAGATTCTCGCCCACCAATCCTCTGAGCTCGTTTCTGCTCCAACCTCTGCTGAACAGTTCAGCTACCAATTTGGGATAAGTAGACACGTCCTCCAAACCATCTGCGAACTTGAATCCGCCGTCGTAATCGCTTCCGATGCCCACTTTGGACCGACCAATCTTGGAGGCGATGTGATCGATGTGATCGGCCACTTTGGCTATGCCAGCGTCCCCTTCGGGTCCTACAAAGGGATACAAGAATGCGACCATGACGATACCGTCTTTGCCCGAGTCCCTTGCTTGATCCAGCAAGGCATCCGGCACGTTTCGAATGTGATCATGAACGGCCCTGGCACCGCTGTGGGAAAAGAAGAATGGCGCTTTGGTGTGCTTGATCACATCTTTTGCCGTGTCGTCGGAAGTGTGAGACAGATCCGCCATCATTCCTAGCCTGTTGAGCTCATCTATGAGCCTGAAGCCGATCTTGGTGAGTCCTCCATGCAATGGCGGCAAAGCTTGTCCTGCCGTGGCTCCTGCCGAATCCGCAAATGCATTGTGGCATGTATGCGTGAGGGTCAAGTACCTCGCACCTAGTCTGTGATACGTTCGCAAGGTGGAAAGACTATTGCCAAGACTATGGGCACCCTCGATCCCTATCAAGTGACTGATCTTGCCGCTCTTGAACGCCGATCGAAGCTCTTGAGGCGTTGTTACGACGGCTACATCATCGGGGTAGTACTCTGCCAAAGACCAGGTCAGATCGATTTGCTCCAGCGTGTCTCTGACTTGCCAAGTTGGCGCATTAAAGTCTTCCTTTTCGCCTTCGGGAATCTTGGTGCATGGCACGTAGCTTGGCGAAAGCATCGATGGCAGCAGAAGAAGAAGAAGATGAAGCGCCTCAAACACGTCAGCTGCTCTCTCTACGTAAAGTTCTTGGCGCAGAGCAGAGGCTAGGATGCACCGTCACTTCCAAGGTCCCCACTCACGCGATGCTGAAGAAGCCACCACTGCCGCCTTTTCGAAGTCTTGGCAAATCAACAAAGCCCTGCAGCTCGCCTTTGTAGTCGACTTTGGGACTGGCCAAATCTCCACCGTAAATGTACCTGAACAATACGGGCAAGTCGACGTGTCCATCTATGAGCGGTGTGGTCCTGAGGATGGAATGCGCCACTGCTAGTGGCTATCATCGCGCGAGAACGTTAGGTAGCCCAGTCGGCAAATTTCCATCAGCCCGCTGCTGGCTATGGTAGCCAGGGCTTGTGAGGATGTGCTGCAGCACTCACGTCTGTTTGGAGGTACGAGCTGGCCCAGATGAGCGGCACCAGCGCTGCCGAGATGGCATTGCCAGAAGCGCACGTAGCAGCACCGACCAGATCACTGAACAACTTCATTTCGCCTTGATGCTCACTTCAGAAACTTTGGGCAAGCAGTCTTTCGTGGATGAGAGGTTGGAGAGGGGGTTGTGTTCACGGCATGAGGTTGATGATGGAAGAAGATGATCCCAATCACCACACACTCACTCATGAACGACGTTTCATGCCCATTGTGATTCGCATTCACTTTCGAATCACGAGTGGAGCATCACGATCGAATCACGAATCAACAAGTTGAACGCATCTCATTATGCCCGTCTGCAGGATGCTTCTCACGCAGCTAGCTCACCATCGACATCCGTGAGCGAAGGGTGAGAGAGCATTCGCGTTCGCATTCGCATGGCATTAGTGTCTGCTGAGTGCACGGACACCATGCGCGTGCCTCCACTTCATCCACGCTCCTCGCCCCGGCCAGCAGCCTCCGCCGTTGACCGGTACCGGTACGCTGCAGTCAGAGAGTGTGGGCACCAGTACGCCGTCAGCATGCATGCAGTCTGAGTTGTGGCAGAGCAGTCGTGACTCACGAACCAGCAAACCATGCAGCAAAACACCCGCTGGTGATGGCCAATCCGCGCGCTTGACGCACGCACCATGCACTAGCGCGCTGTCGCTAATTCCGCTGGATGCACTCACACTCATCAAGATCGCGACTAACGCGACTGCAGCGTGCAACGCGCACGCGCCGCGGTGGACGCCATGACATGACATGACACGATCGAAGATCGGCCCCCTCGCAAGCCCCAAACTTGACCGTTCACCATTCATAATGATGATCCCTGCAGCGAGCCGCACACATGCTCTCGACAAAGGCCATGCAGTTCTTGTCGAGCAATCCGCTCCAGCGATGGGCAAGATACCGGAGAATGGGCGAAACGAATCTCCATCAAAACAGTCAGTGAGACTCTCAAAGACATGCTATCCGCGCGGGAGATGCGAAAGCAGAAAGAAGCAGGCGACATCATCAAATCGTTATTTCGTAGCGGGAGCAACCTCGATCCTTGCGCGCGTGTGTGTGTGTGTAAGGAGAAGAGGAGCAGAGATGGGGAGACATGAGGAAGGAAAAGGTCAAAGTATGTAGGCATCTGCAAACTGAAAATTTCACTTCACTACTTGCTCGGACACATTCGTGGATTGATGGCCTTTCCGTCCTTTACAGCTCGTCACGAGCATGAGCGCTTGCGCTGCTAGCAGCAGCCGATGCTGCACTCGCAGCGCTCGACACGCTCACGCTAGCCACCTTTGCATTCTGTTCGGCTTTTCCATGAACATCCTGAACACCACCAAAGATGTTTCTAGCTGCTTCCTTAAGCGCTCCAAAGACGCCCTTGTGAGCCGCATGGTATCTAGCTCTCAACTCTCTCATCAGCCCCTCTCGAGTGACTGGCGTCTTTTCCGTGGAGAGTCCAGTGGAACGCAAGTAGCCCCTGATGCGCTTGTCCGACCAGGTGTAGTACTCGCGCGAAGTGTCCACCAGATCGTTGAAAGCTTTGTTGTCCGTCGCAAGAGCCAACAACTCATCGCGCTTTGCCTCGTAGTCAGACTTGATCACCCCTTGAGAGATGAGGAAGGATCTCAAGTCCGAGTCGCTCCAAAGACCTGTCAGGCTATCTTGAGTGGCGGTGTAAGAGTCTCTAACCTTGCCAACCAGCTCATCCCGACGAGCTTCGTAGTCCGACTTGATCACATTGTTGTCAATGAGGTACTGGCGGAGATCAGAGTCCTTCCAAGAGTCAAAGATGGTCTCGGTGGGAGAGTAGTAGAAGTCCTTGGCGAGCGATACGAGCTCATCGCGAGTCTGCTCAGCTGGCGTACGGATCAGCCCTTGGTTCTGGGCCCATCGCTTGAGGTAGTCCGTCGAGAAAAGCTCGTAAGGCGCTTGGGTGGTGGCGAGGTATCCATCCTTGATAGTCTGGATCAATTCGTCACGACGCAGCTCAGCATGACTCTTGAGAACGCCCTTCTCGACGAGGAAGCTCTGCGAGGCAAGTAGAATGCAGAAGCAAGTTGATCAGCGACGAGTCCGAGCACCTCAAACCGACTTTTCATGAGACTCTTTGCCTCGTCAACTCACCCTGATCTGAGAGTCATCCCACGAGTCGTAGATATACTGAGCACCGTTGTGCACGCCATCCTCAGCACCTTGGCTTGCTTGAGCTAGCAAGCTGGATGCGCTCTTGCTGACACCGCTAGCTGCGCTGGAGATCTCGTATGAAAGAGAGCTCGCGTCGGTAGGAGCATTCTTGCTCATACGCGAAGCAGCCGACGAAGCTTCTTTCGATGCGCTCGAGGCGCTAGCAGAAGCCTGACCCGACGAACAGATGGATGGATCAGAAACAGAGAAATCGAAGAGATCCATTGCAAGCGTGCTTCGAACTCTTACTCACCACAGACTGGTAAGAAGACGCCAGGTTGTAGATGCTGCTCGCTCCAGCTGCTGCAGCGGAGGATGCAGAGCCGGTGGCAGAGTAGGCGGAAGAAGCCAAGGAGCTCAAGTCCTGCTTTGCGAGCACAGCCAGCTGTTCGCGCGTGTTGCCGGGCGCAATCACGCCGCGCTCGAGAAGGTAAGAGCGGAGGCTGAAGAGTGAGAGGGCCAGTAGAGAGACGATCAATCATTCGTTAGGCATGAAACAAGGTTGCGAATCACGGCAGATGCGGGCGGGCAAGCCGTCGTTCACGCGTTCGAAGCAACGTCGTCGACCCGCAGCCAATCAGCTCACCGCGTCCGCTTGCTAGCTGCTACTCACTCGCTCTCGGTCCAGGTGTCGAAAGCCGCCTGGAACACGCGCTGTCCCCCCAAGGTGGCATCCTGGATCCAATCGGCACGGGCGACACCCGTGTTCTGCGGTGCTGAGCCGGCGAGCATCAGCGCCACAGCGGCAACAGTGATGAAACGTGTAGAGACCATCTTGAGTACTGTGATCTGTGTGGGGGTAATGCGGATGTATGCGCTTGATCAACAGTGAAGGATACGTGACTCGTCGTCAAAAGTTGAGCTGTTGCAAGTCGCGAAGGTGGTGGTTCAGAA